ACAATGGCCTCATTCATCTCGGTATCCTCAGCTCCTGGTGTAATTCGCGGTACCTAATAGGCATTTAATCTTTGTTGGGTAACTATTCAAAGGAGATTCCTGGGGTCACCTCCAGCTAGCCTTCCTTTTCCATCTCCTTGTTTGATTTACCTACCTTAACTGAACTCTGAGCACTGAAGAATAAACAAGAAGGAACTTGGGTTCCATCCAACTCTCAGGGCCTTATATTTAAATGCTCCCAACAATAAATCACAATAATTATTTATACTCAGAGCACCATCAAAATATCAACCTTCCACCTTCCCATAGCTTCATGAGAAACATCCATGGAAATTCCCCCAGATCTCAAGATAGCTTCCCTCTACCACCCAAGATGTTTCTAGGCCACCTCTTCCTGCTGTTAATCAGTGTGTGCTCAGGATAAACAAACTAATTTTAAAATCAGCTTAAGCAAAACATAATTAGGAAGATAAATTAGCTGCCCCCCAAATTGCATAAGGAATGCCCAAGGAGAAATTATTTTTATTATCCACCATTTTTATTATCTGTGTAACATTTTCTCTCCCATCACCGCAGATGAACTTGGCTCACAGCATAGGGAAATGCCACAGAACATAACTAACTTCTGGCCTTGACTATCTGTGCAATGATTACCAAAGGAGAAAAAACTGGCTATTTTGGTTTTGTTTTTCTTATCTTGAATTTATAACACCAGCCTAGTGGTATAGCAAGGAGTAGAGGAAAAGAAGGCAATTACAATCAGACCATCAGGGTTCAACTCTTGTTCTGATTTGTTGCTATACAATCATGAGCACATTAGTTAACCTCTGAGAAATCAGTTTCTTTACACATAAAATGAGGAAGATAGTAACACATACTTCAATGGCAACATCGACTCAGATGACTTATGAATTATTCCTATGAATCATTCCTTTAATCTTTGCCATAAACTCATGAATTACCTACTGTTACTTTCCTTTTACACATAAGGCAAGTCACAGAGAGGTTGAGTAATTTACTCAACAGGTTGTTAACACTGAGTGTGATTTTATACATTGAAATCATAAGTAATTGTAACAAAGCAGTACTCAATTTTTTCCTTTAGAAGTCCCCTAACCCCTGCCAAATTAACTAATCACTATAGAAACTGTTTTTTTATTGAACCTCCTTGCTCAAGAGGCCTGGATCCTTCACACATAGCTAGCTCTGCACTCACTGTACTTGGTGCCTAAGTTTCCCCCTGTGAAATGAAATGTCAGACTATATCAGCAGCTGCCAATCAGTGGCCTATGTGCTGACCTGGCCTGCAGTTACATTTTGTTACATTGCATTATGTGTACATTTTTAAAAAGTAATTGCCAGCATTTCAAAGTCAGTAGATCTCCTGCCCTTTCACTTGCTTGCTCATGTTCTCTCTCTCTCTCTCTCTCTCTCTCTCTCTCTCTCTCTCCCTCTCACACACACACACACACACACAAACACAAATTTCAGGCTTCTTTTGAAACATGGGCCCATATGTCCACAAGGGCTCTTATTCACCCAGGTCAACATTCACCTCAAGAGGAGTATGGCTGCCTCCTTTTACAAGGGATAAATATTCCCCAGTTTGCCACAGTCCCCACTTCTCGCAGCTTCTTGCTGACATATGAGTCTACAACCCCTGGGCTCAATGATCATTAGTCTCTCTCTCCCAGCATTTAGAGTTCAGGATTCCCTGACACTTGACAGTGAGTCCCCCAAAAAATATCCATTATAAAATACCACAGATTTTCAAAGAATAATGTTGTTACACAGGATGGCCAATTCATCCCACTTTAACAGGGATTTTCCCCTTTTTAGACAGAAAGCCCTGCATCCAGGAAATTCCTTGGTCTCAGGCAAACTACGTTGGCCACTCGGTGTTATGTTACAGAATTACCCCCCAGTGGGCAATGAGGGTGGGATGCTGCTCTGTACCCTCATGCTCCTGAGTCTCCTCGGGCAACCCTGCAGTGCTAGGAGCACATGCCCAGCACCCTCCCATCATGTACTTGTGGGGGAGCTGGGGAGGTCCAATGGGGGGGCCTAGGCCTAGTTCTATGGCTGGTTCTTGTGATGGGGCTCTGCAGGACCTTAGGTAGGTCAGTCAGTTTCTGAGCCTCACTCCTCTTACATTCATTCATTCATCAAATATTTATTAAATACTTTACATGTGCCAGGTACCATTCCAGGTACTGAGGATACAGCAGTGAATAAATGAGGACAAGGTCCTTGCCCTCAGAGAATTCACATCTAGAAGAGAAACATCCAGTAAAACAAGTAAACAATATCTGATAAAACTTGAGTTGGTGAAAATGCCATAAAGAAACCATTGGTTATATGAGAGAAACAAAGTCCACAGGGCCACAGGGGCCATCAGCAATCGTGGTGTGTGCCAAAGAAGACCAGAAATGAGTCAAAGTTACACACCTGGCCTCCCATTTTGAACAATATGTAATTCTTAAGTTTGGGATCTTTTGATTCAAGGGATATATGTAACAATTTTTCAATTACAGATGTTTCTGAGTGAAAAGCAGCTTTACGGATAAATCCATATCAGTATCAAATCTGGTTCTCATACAGATTGATTACAAGTTTATCAAGTCAAATCCACCCAAATAATAGCACAAGGGTTGAAGAGGAAGAGAGGCCAAGCTTAATAGCAAATCTAACAGTATTTTATTAAACAAAGTATAGCTAGAGTCAGGGGCACATGTGCTAAAGCGAGAAGCAGAAAAATGAAAGAATGAATAAATGGATTGTCCAATAACTGCCTTCTTCCCCCCAAAAGAGCTGTATACTGCCTTTTGAAGGAAGTAACCAAGTTATAACCAATTAAATAAGGGACACTACTACAGTATGTCATTCATTCATTCATTGCACATACAGGTATTGGGTACCTACTATGTGCCAATACTTAATAAATAATAAAAGAAGTGATAGTTGGGAAGTTCAACATATTCATCTATATGTAAGATAACCCTTATTTTATTTTTCTGATAAAATAATAAGTTGCTTTTTGTAATTTTGAAGCTTAGAAATGTAATAAAAGACAGCCTTTGATAAGCCAGGGTTTCTCCACATTGGTACTACTGACATGTGGAGATGGGAATTTCTTTGTTGTGGGGCCATCCTATGCACTGCATGGATGTTTAGCCACATTGTTGGCCTCTACACGCTAGATGCCACCACCACATACACACACACACAGAGCCAGTTGTTAGCATCAAAACTGTCAGGCTTTGAAAATACCCCTGGGGGTGCAAAAACCACCTCAGACTGAAAAGTGCTGCTTTAAGCAATCCACTTTGCTCACACCATAGGGAGCTCAGAAGTGAAGGCCTCTGGAGAGACCCCTTTTTCCTTCAGGCAAATTAGCAAGAGATTTCCTTCCTTTGCACCCCCTTCTCCTCCTTGCTTCCAAGACACCAGCCCTCCGGAGAAAGGCAGTACTGTCCCAAGTCTGGGTTGGGAGGTCAAGGTAATGGGTGGGGAGAGGCAGGCTTGGGCTCTGCTAAGGGGATCAGCGAGCTTCTGGAGCTAACACTGTGTGCGTCACAGCTGCTAATCCAGGCCAGGCCCCAGGCCTGCACTCCTCCAAATGAACTTTGCTAACAACCCCGGGAGAAAATCTTCCCCTTCATGAGGCTTACACGCCCACATGTAAATTCAGCAGTCTGTGGCTGTTCTAAGCAAGGCAGATTAAAATTGTGCCTGTCCATCTTGAGCACTGTTATGAGCAAGTCTCTGAATCTGGGAGCAGGGCACGCCTATCTGTCTGCACCCTTCCGTAAGGACTTTACAAAGAGTCCATTGTACACAACCTACTCTAAGGCAGAACCGATGTACCTGCCTGGCCATTCATTCCCAGCTTTGGCCGGTTCTTCAGGGCAAACGTTAGTTGTACAGAAGCAAACATTTTAGCAGATAGAAAATGTCAACGTGAGTCCAAGTCAGGCACAGCGTCTATAGGAACCTGTAACCTGGGTCCTGGCTGCATGGAGCAAAGGCAAGTTAGTCTTGTGTGTCTCCTCTTAGTGACTTAGATTCAGTGTTTCCAAGTAACAGAAAGGAGAACTGGGAGAAGATGGAGAGGGTGAGACCAGGTTCTACTTTTATTTATTTATTTCTCACACATTTGCCAAGTCTCTGTTATATGCCTAACACCGTGCTTGTGCTTGGGAAGACTTAGCTTTTGGTGGAACCTGCCAGGGTTCACAGAATCAAAACCTTCCAATGCCAAGTAGTAACATAAATGAGGGGCCATATATATGCCCCACCTAAAGGGGGAACCACTCCTTAGCTCCAGCTTCTTGTTACCATAATGGTCTAAAAGCTAGTTTTGGCAGATTTTTCGAGTTTCTAAGAGAAAACAGAAAACAGGATTTTTATGTGAAATCTTAATTTTTAAGCATAAGCTGAAATTTTAAAACAAAATAGAAAACCCCTGCACAGACCAAACCAATCCAGTCTCTAGGCCTTCAAGCTATAACTTCTGTTTTCGAGACAGAGAGGAGGAGTTTAAGAGGGAAATACCTGGAAGGGGTAAATAGGGTGTCTGGTTCTACCTCTCGCTTCCTTTTATTGTGACTTTGGGCAAGTTACCTGACCTTTCTGAGCTTTACTTTCCTCATGTATAAAATGAGTATGATAAAGCATATTATAGACTTAAATGAGAGAATGCATATACATGCCTTATCTGTAATAGTTAAATAAACGTGAGCTATTATTTTCATAGGTCCTCTGGTCCACTCCCCCAGGATTCTCTTTTGCAAGAGCCTTGACAATTGAACATGTAGTCACTGCTTGCGTGCTTCCTGAGACAAAGAGCTCATGGCTTCTTGGGGAATGCCAGCTGTATAACAATCCCAAAATCTCAGTGGCTTAATCCAACGTATGTTCATTTATTGCTCATGTCCCAGTCCAATGTGGTCAACACATAGGGTGCTCTGTTCCTCCCTATGCCCTATAGATCCGTGTACCTTCCATCTGGAGGCTCTGCCATCCCCCAGGACTTCCCAGCATCCTCTACTGGATTCTCTGCTTTCAGCCGGCTAAGAGAAAGAAAGAAAAGAAAGAGAGATGACAGAATATCAGGTGAATGACATCTGCACATTCCTATATGCCAGAACTCTATCACATAGCCCCAACCTAATTGTAAAGGAAGTGGGGAATGAAGTGTTCCTCTGCATTCAGGAGGACAAAACAGCATTGATGAACATCCCAACCTCTGCCATGCTCTGCATTCATAAAACACAACTCTGCAGACTTAGAATGTCTACCTGTTAGTCCCTCCCAGGCTTGTCCTTCAGTACAACACACACAGGAGAGCAGGAAGATATAAGCTTGGGGACAGGTAGGTTTGGATTTGACTCTCAGTTCCACTATGTGCTAGCTTTGGACCCTGGGCAAATTCCTTAAACTTTCTGTACCTCAGTTTCCTCATTTGAAAAATAAAGACTGTCATTACCTCCCTGGGTTGCTGTTAGGATGGAATAGAATAATGTATGTGTTCTCTACTACATAATGTCTAGTATCATAAGCTAGAAGGTGCTCAATTAATGCTGGTGTCTCCCTTGGTCCTCTTGCATGAATACTTTCTAGGTATTTAAAGATGACTATGATTATTTTTGCAAGCTCTCTCTTCTCCCAGCTTCCTCAACTATTTGCATTGTTTTTTATGATGTCATTGCCATATAATGTCTATTCCATAGACATACCCCCGTTTGTCCAGGGCAAATATGATGTCTGCCTTCATTTAGGTTTCTCTGAAAGCAGACCCTGAGACAGGACTTGGGTGCAGATAATTGGGGTAGGGTGGGGTAGTTTTCTTAGGAAACAGAAGGGAGTAAAGTGGGAAGGGAGAAAAGCCAATAAATGAGTAGGTTATAGCTGTGGACAGCTGAGGTTCATTCCCATAGAGTGCTCTGAAGAACCATGTAGAAGGCACCTTAAAATTGTCCTACATTCTGTGTCCTGCTGGATGGGAAGACTGAGCTGTTTATCCATGAAATCCTATTTTCTTGAGTTTAGGGCTGCCTCTAATCAGGGGTGTTAATTACCTTAAAATTATGGGTTGTTGCCTACATGTTGCTGAGTAGGATTTCCAGATTTCTAGAAAGCAACAGCAAGAAACACTATGATATGGGCTGATTTCAAAATTTACCATAAAGCCACATGAATCAACACTGTATAATGGTGGTACAAGGGTAGACATATAGATTCAATGGATGAGAACTGAAAAGTCCAAATATAAACCCTTGCATTATGGTCAACTGATTTTTGACAAGGGTGCCAAAATAATTCAACTGGGGAATAGATAGGGTTTTTTCAGTAAATGGTACCAGGACCATTACATATTCACATGCAAAAACAACATGAGCTTAGGCCCTTATCTAACATCATATATTAAAAATGAACTCAAATACATCATGGCCCTAAATATCAGAGCTAAAACTATAAAACTTTAGTAGAAAACACAGGAGAAACTTCCAGCAACTTTGGTTTGGAAAGACTTCTTAGATATAACACCAAAAACATGACACTTAAAAAAATGATAAATTGGACTTCATTGAAACTTTTGCACTTTAAAAGATCCTTAAAAAGAATGTTTTACAAAACCTCTGGCCCAGATGGCTTCATCACTGAATTTTATCATAAATTTAAATAAGAACTAATACCCATCCTCCTTAAAGTTTTCCAAAAAGTGGAAGAAGAGGGAATCCTTCCAAACTCATTCTATGAGGCCAGCATCACTCTAATACCAAAACCAGCAAAGACACCACAAAAAAAGAGAATTATGGACCAATATTCCTGATGAACATAGGTGCAAAAATACTCAACAAAATATTAGCAAACTGAATTGAAAAATACATCAAAAAGATCATCCATCATGACCAAGTGGGATTTATCTCAGGGGTGTAAAGATCGTACCATACCTGAAAATCAATCTACATCATACACCACATCAACAAAAAGAAGGCAAAATCTCATGATCATCTCAATAGATGCTGAAAAAGCCTCTGACAAAATTCAACATACATTTACAACAACTCTCAACAAAATTAGTATAGAGGGTAAGCACCTTAACATTTGAAGGCCACGTATGACAAACCCACAGCCAACATCATACTTAACAGCAAAAAGGTGAAAGCTTTTCCTCTAAGACCAGAAAAAGAAAAGAATGCCCATTGTCACCACTGTTATTCAACATAGTACTGGAGGTCCTAGCCATAGCAATCAGACAACACAAAGAAATAAAAGGCATCCAGACTGGTAAGCAAGAAGTTAAACTGTCACTGTTTGCAGATGACAGTTCTATGTATATTATACATAGAAAACCCTAAAGACTCCACCAAAAAACTACTAGAACTAATAATTGAATTCAGCAAAGTTGTAGGATACAAAATTAATACACAGAAATCTGTTGCATCCCAATATACTAACAATGAACTAGCAGAAAGAGAAATCAGGAAAACAAATCTATTTACAATTGCATCAAAAAAAAAAATACCTAGGAATAAACCTAACCAAGGAAATTAAAGACCTATACCCTGAAAACTACAAGACACTCATGAGAGAACTTAAAGAAGACACCAATAAATGGAAATACATCTATGCTCATGGATAGGAAGAATTAATATTGTCAAAATGGCCATCCTGCCTAAAGCAATCTACAGCTTCAATGCAATCCCTATCAAGGTACTAACAGCATTCTTCAATGAACTAGAACAAATAGTTCTAAAATACATATGGAACAAAAGAAGACCCCAAAAAGCCAAAGCAACCCTGAGAAGGAAGAACAAAGTTGGGGGGATTATGTTCCCTAATTGCAAGCTCTACTATGAAGCCACAGTATGTTATTGGCACAAGAACAGACCTATAGATCAACGGAATAGAATAGAAAGCCTAGATATGAACTGACACATACATGGCCAATTAATATATGATAAAGGAGCCATGGATATACAATGGGGAAATGACCTCTTCAACAACTGGTGTTGGCAAAACTGGACAGCTAAATGTAAAAAAATGAAACTGGATTATTGTCTGACTCCATACACAAAAGTAAACTGGAAATGGATCAAAGACCTGAATGTAAGTCATGAAACTATAAAACTCACAGAAGAAAACATAGGCAAAAATCTCCTGAATATAGACAAGGGCAACTTTTTCCTGAACACATCTTCTTGGGCAAAGGAAACAAAATAAAAAATAAACAAATGGAACTATATCAAACTAAAAAGCTTCCGTACAACAAAGGACACGATCAGCAGAACAAAAAGGAATCCTACAATATAGGAGAATATATTCATAACCAACTTATCCGATATGGGATTAACATCCAAAATATATAAAGAACTCACACACCTCAACACCCAAAGAACAAATAATCCAATTAAAAAATGGACAGGGGATCTGAACAATTCTCCAAAGAAGAAATTCAGATGGCCAACAGGTGCATGAAAAAACTCTCCACATCACTAATCATCAGGGAAATGCAAATTAAAACCACAATAAGATTCACCTCACACCAGTTAGGATACCACAATGAGATATCACTTCACACCAGTTAGGACAGACAACATCCAAAAGACAAGGAACAACAAATGCTGGCAAGGATGTGGAGAAAGGGAACCCTCCTACCCTGTTGGTGGGAATGTAAATTGGTGCAACTTAAATGGAAAGCAATATGGAGGGTCCTCTAAAAACTAAAAATAGAAGTACCATTTGACCCAGGAATTCCACTCCTAAGAATTTACCCAAAGAAAACAAGATTCCAGATTTAATAAGACATATGCACCCCTATGTTTATCGCAGCACTATTTACAGTAGCCAAGACATGGAAACAACCTAAATGTCCATCAGTAGATGAATGGATAAAGATGTGGTACATATACACAATGGAATATTTTTCAGCCATAAGAAGAAAACAAATCCTACCATTTGCAACAACATGAATGGAGCTAGTGGGTATTATGTTCAATGAAATAAGCCAGGCAGAGAAAGACAAGTACCAAATGATTTCCCTCATTTGTGGAGTATAACAACAAAAGAAAACTGAAGGAATAAAAGAGCAGCAGACTCACAGACTCCAAGAAGGGACTAGTGGTTACCAAAGGGGAGGGGTTGGGAGGGAGGGAGAAGAGGATTAAGGGGCACCATAATTAGCAATCACATTATAGGTAGGTCACGGGGAAGGTAGTACAGCACAGAGAAGACAAGTAGTGACTCTATAGCATCTTACTGCGCTGATGGACAGTGACAATGGGGGTGGTGAGGACTTGATAATATGGGTGAATGTTGAAACCACAACGTTGTTCATGTGAAACCTTAATAAAGTTGTATATCAATGATTCTTTAATAATAAATAAATAAATAATGTTTTAATAATAAGCTAGGAGAAAATATACAGTAATAGCTCTTATACAGCACTTGTATACATAAATTTTTAAAAATCTTACAACTCAATAATAAAATAACCCAATTTTAAAATGACACAAGATTTGAGTAGCTATTTCACAAAGAAGGTATACAAATGTCAAATAAGCATGTGGAAAGATGCACAAATCATTTGTCGGTAGGGAAATGCAAATCAAAGCCACAACGAGAATCTACTATGTAACTACTGGAACAGTTATGAAGTAAAAGGGAGAGAATACCAAGTGCTGGTTAGAATGTGGAAGAACTGGAACCTTCATTGTTGATAAGAATGCGAAATCATACAATTATAATGGAAAACAGAATGGCAGTTTATTTAAAGGCTAAACACACATTTTACCATACAACATAGTGATTCCACACCTAGGAACCTACCCAAGAAAAATAAAAACATATGTTTACACCAAGACTTGTATGTGAATGTTTGTAGCATCATTATTAATACCATCAAGAACTGGAGAAATGAATCAGTAGGGAGAGCCGAGAGCAGCCCCCAGGGAGCCCTGCGCAGCCCTGCCACTGCTGGCCTAGTCACCATCACACCCTGGGAGGGGCCGCAGCCAATGCATCGGCACCCGTCACCATCACCACAGCCATGAGCACTGGGGCCTAGACCCCACCACTGCCGCCGCCACCCCTGTGCTCAGTGCCGCTGACTCCAAGTCCAGCACACTGGCAGTGGAGCAGGGAGCAGTGGCCCAGGTGCCTCACATCGGCAGCGCCTGCCAGAAAGGACCAGAAAGCCATTACAAGGAAGGTTTGGGGAACAGTAAAATGGTTCAGTGTAAGAACTGGATATGGTTTCATCAACAGGAATGGCACAAAGGAAGATGCATTTGTACACTGATTGTCATAGAGAACCACCGTGGGAAGCACTTGCAGTGGCGGGAGATGGAGAGACTGTGGGGCTTCACATTGTTAAAGGAGAAAAGGGTGCGGAGGCAGCCAGTGTGACAGGCCCTGGTGAATTCCAGTGCAAGATGGTAAGCACACAGCAGACCATAACCATTAGAGACGCCATTACAGGGGTCCTCCATGCCAGCAGAATTACCAGAATGGTGAAAGTGGGAGAAGGAATGAGGGATGGGAGGTGCTCCCAAAGTCCAGGCTCCACAGTGTAGCCCCACCACAGGTGACGGTACCCACCTTACTACATGCGACCCCCTGGCATGGACCACGATGCTCCAGCCCTCCTGTGCAGGCCGAAGTGGTGGAGGGGGCTGACAACCAGAGGGCAGGAGGACAAGGTAGTGCAGTGAGACAAAATGTGTATCAGGGTTACAGACCAGATTCCGCAGGGGTCTTCCCCCCGAAAGATGGCCTAGAGAGGACGGCAATGAAGAGTACAAGGAAAATCAAGGAGAGAGACAGGTGGTCAGCAGCCACTTACTGCTGGTAACACCACATCTTCAGCTACTGATGAAGATGCCCAGAAAGTCCTAAACCACAAATGGCAAAGAGACACAGCAGCCAATCCACCAGCTGAGAATCTGTCAGGTTCAGAGGCTGAGCAGGGTGGGGCTGTGTACATGCTGGCTTACCATCTCTACCATCATTCGGTTTAGTTATTCAAGAAGAAGAAATGAACATGAAATTCGAGCAATGAGAAATGAAAAATGACTGGAGCTGAGGCCTGAAGTGCTTTGCTTTTTGCACATGGACAAGATAACCAGAATTATCTGCATTGTCTATGCAGCATGGGGTTTTTATTTTTACCTAAAGATGTCTCTTTTTGGTAATGACAAACATGTTTTTTTATAAAAAGTCTGGCTTTTTCTTTTTTTTGTAATCATTAATATACAATCACATGAGCAACACTGTGGTTACTAGATCCCCCGCATTATCAAATCTCCACCACATACCCCATTACAGTCACTGTCCATTAGCGTAGTAAGATGCTATAGAGTCACTACTTGTCTTCTCCCTACCTTCCCACCCATCCTCCCCAGTCCCTTTCGCTTTGGCAACTGTTAGTTCATTCTTGGGTTCTGTGAGTCTACTGCTGTTTTATTCCTTCAGTTTTTCCTTTGTTCTTATGTTCCACAGATGAGTGAAATCATTTGATACTTGTCTTTCTCTGCCTAGCTTATTTCACTGAGCATAATACCCTCTAGCTACATCCCTGTTGTTGCAAATGGTAAGATTTGTTTTTGTCTTATGGCTGAATAATATTCCATTGTGTACATGTACCACATCTTCTTTATCCATTCATCTATTGATGGACACTTAGGTTCCTTCCATTTCTTGGCTATCATAAATAGTGCTGTGATAAACATAGGGGTGCATATGTCTTTTTGAAACTGGGATCCTGCGTTCTTAGGGTAAATTCTTAGGAGTGGAATTCCTGGGTCAAATGGTATTTCTATTTTCAGTTTTTTGAGGAACCTCCATACTGCTTTCCACAATGGTTGAACTAGTTTACATTCACACCAGCAGTGTACAAGAGTTCCCCTTTCTCTGCATCCTCGCCAGCATTTGTTGTTCCTAGTCTATGTTGGCCATCCTAACTGGTGTGAGGTGATATCTCATTGTGGTTTTAATTTGCCTTTCTCTGATAATTAGTGATGTGGAGCATCTTTTCATGTGCTTGTTGGCCATCTGAATTTCTTCTTTGGAGAAGTGTCTGTTCAGATCCCCCACCCATTTTTTAATCAGGTTATTTGCTTTTTGGGTGTTGAGATGTGTGAGTTCTTTATATATTTTGGATGTTAACCCCTTGTTGGATGTCATTTATGAATATATTCTCCTATTCTATAGGATGCCTTTTTGTTCTGCTGATTGTGTCCTTTGCTGTACAGAAGCTTTTTAGCATGATGTGATCCCACTTGTTCATTTTTGCTTTTGTTTCTCTTGCCCAAGGAGATGCATTCAGGAAAAAGTTGCTTATGTTGATATTCAAGAAATTTTTGCCTATGTTTTCTTCTAAGAGTTTTATGGTTTTATGACTTACATTCAGGTCTTTGATCCATTTGGAGTTTTACTTTTGTGTATGGGGTTAGACTATGATCAATTTCATTCTCTTGCATGTAGCTGTCCAGTTTTGCCAACACCAGCTGTTGAAGAGGCTGTCATTTCCCCATTGTATGTCCAAGGCTCTTTTATCATATACTAATTGACCACATATGCTTGGGTTTGTATCTGGGCTCTCTAGTCTATTCCATTGGTCTATGGATCTGTTCTTGTGCCAGTACCAAATTGTCTTGATTACTGTGGCTTTGTAGTAGAGCTTGAAGTCAGGGAGCATAATCCCCGCTTTATTCTTCCTTTTCAGGATTGCTTTGGCTATTCAGCGTCTTTTGTGGTTCCATACAAATTTTAGAACTATTCGCTCTAGTTCGTTGAAGAATGCTGTTGGTATTTTGATAGGGATTGCATTGAATCTATAGATTGCTTTAGGCAGGATGGCCATTTTGACAATATTAATTCTTCCTATCCATGAGCACGGGATGTGTTTCCATTTATTGGTATCTTCTTTAATTTCTCTCATGAGTGTCTTTTCTCACTACACTCATAAAGGCTCTTAAATTGTTTCATATCTGGTCAAGTTGAGATTTTTAAGAACTTCATTTTTAATTTGTAATAAAAGTTTATAACTTTTTTTTCAAAAAGGTCAACAAACGGTAAGCACCTGTTAATAAAGATCTTAAAAAAAACAGCAAACAACCCAAATTAACTGATAAACGGATAAGCACAATGCAACACAAGAGGATACTTTATTCAGTAGCCAGGGTGAACTTTTGAAAGTGTAAACTAGACTTGTGATTTTAAGGTTAATTGTATAGAATTGTATACAAAAGAATTGTACCAACTTTGTTAACAGTTTAAAAATATTTAACATTATACAAGTTTACATGATGTTATGTTTTGGTACCTGTATAAGTCATTTTAAACTGACACACCTTGTTGATTATGTGCTGACTCACTTTCCGGCATGAAGCAGAATCTGGGCTCACAATTGCTCTACTTCTCTGAATTCTCCTTCAGTTTTTCTGACTCCTGGGCCAGGTGTCCATGTTTAGCTCCATGATGAAGGACCCCAGCTTCTGCAGGATATTTTTGTCTACAAGGTAAAAGGCAACAAGGGTATGGCTTCCAAATTGTCCTTGTGGGCTCTGGCTCATGCTCATGGGATACTAGCCTGCTTAAGATCATCCCTTCTTGCCTACCTGCCTGTGTACTTCAAAGGCTCGATTTGGGTCAGATAAAGCTCATATAGCTGTTAAAACATTCAGTTTCTTGCAGGTTGTCAGTCCCCTCATTTTCTTGCAGGCTACCAGTTAGAGGCTGCTTTTTCAGTTCCATGCTGCATGGCCCTACCCACATGGCAGCACACACCTTGGCAGCTTGCTCCTTCAAAGCCAGCAAAGGAGAGGGGGGGTCTCCTAGCAAGAAGAATTATAGTCTGATGTGATATAGTGAGATGCACATGATCACATACACCCCATTGTCTTTGCCAAATTCTACACGTTGGAAGCAAGTCATAGGTCCTGTGCACACTCAAGGGGAGGAGCTCACACAAGGGCTGAAACCAGGAGGTGGGAATATATAATTATTATGTAATAATAACCCTAGAGTCATCATGTCCCCCTCTGGTCCCAAATAATTGTGTCCCTCTCACAAGAAAAATACATTTACTCCCTCCCAAGTCCTCCAGAACTTCATACCACTACAGCATCTGCTCAAAGCCTAGAATTGTATCATCAAATCAGATCCAGGAATGGGTGTGGCTTCTTGAGTATAGTTACTCTCAATCTATAAAACTGAAGACAAGCTATGTGGTTTCTAACACAACAAACACATAATGAAGGAATAGATAGAGCAAAATAGTTACATTCTTTTTAAAAGGGGGAAAGTGGGAAATGCATGGTGAAAAGATGTTTCCAGTCCAAAGTAGTTTGGAAATCCAGCCTAGCAAACTCCTGCCAAATTTCCTTGATTAGATTCCAAGCCCAGGAATAATCCATGCAATGCTCTGCCCTGAGGGATCTTTCCTTTCTCATGGAAGGTAGCACATGCTTGCAGCTGAGTACTTTTATCATCCTGTTTCCTGCCAGGGGGTTCTTGGAGACCTAATAGCTTCCTTTGATTTTATACCTTTCCTACCCCTTTCAGATTAAGTTGGCAGTGCTTTTGCTGAAATAGATTTCTTAAGTACTTTGTGGGTCTCCTGTCCATTTCCCTTTACATAAAAGCAACATTCACAGTTCTGTTTAAGACAGGCCTTCCTTTCTTTACCTACAGTAAAGATGCTGAGATGGTTAAAGGGCAACTCAGTTAAACCTCCAAAAGGAATTCATTTCCTATTTCAACATCTTTTGCCATCTGGAGAGACTGAGGATTTTCAAAATCATCAAGTCCTGGTTCCTTTTTGTTTGAAAGTTCTTGCCCTCAAATTCTCTCTCCTCTTGCATTTTACTATGCACAGCAGGAAGAAACTGGGTCTTTGGAAATCTTAACCAGATGACCAGCCTCATGACTTGTTCTGCTTTTCACACAACTGCAGGGGACAATTTTTAAGCTTTCTGGTATACCTAACAAGGAGAACCTTTTCCTCTGGCTTCCAATGACATGTTTCGTACTTCTTTTTGGGCCCTCACGAGCAGCATCCTCCAAGTTTGGATTTCTATCAACAGTCTATTCAAGGCAGCTTAGGCTTTCCCTATCATGCTCTTCAAAATTCTTCCAGTCTCTAACCAGTTCCACAGTCATTTGCACTGTTTTAGGTATTTGTTACAGCAGCATTCCACTTGCAGGTACCAAAATAAAACTGGCTTTATAAGTTTAATTGATAAGATCTACTGGAATTGTAAGTGCACAGGAAGGTTTTGTATGTTGGTAAGACATTTCAAAACCCAGCACCTCCAATATGAGCTACTCTTAGATGATATTTTTCTGCTTTTGAGTTTGACAAAATTACTATATCACCAGGAAGGTAAAGAAATGTATATATTTTTTAAAGATACTCTATCCTCAGGAGAATACAAGGATATTCATAAGTATAGTGATAAAGACAATATAAATTTAGATATATAAAGATACAAACTTAAATATGTAACAGTTTAAGTTTAAAAATATAGTAGTAAGTGTTGTGATCACTGTGATATTTCATTTGTGTGTCTCTCCTTTATAAGGTATTTATGGCATTTAAAAGACTCAGACAGACCCAAAATTAAACCCACACATATATGGTCAATTAATATATGACAAAAGAACCATGAATATACAATGGGGAAAAGACTGTCTTTTCAATTAATGGTGTTGGGAAAACTGAATGGCTATGTGTAAAAGAATGAATCTAGATCACTTCTTACCATATATAAAAGTCAACTAACTGGATCAAACTAAATGTGAGACAGGAAACAACAAAACTCTTAGAAGGAAACATAGGCAAGAATCTCATGACTATCAGCATGAGAAATTTATTTCTGGAGACATCTCCCTTGGCAAGAGAAACAAAAGCAAAAATAACAGTGGGACTACATCAAACTAAAAAGCTTCTGCACAACAAAGGGAAACCCTCAACAAAACAAAAAGGCAACCTTCCATTTGGGAGAATTTATTTGCAAATGATATATCCAATAAGGGACTAAAATTCAAACCTGAAGAGATATTTTTCCAAAGAAGACAGACAGCCAACAGACACATGAAAAGATGTTCAACATCACTAGTTATCAGGAAAATGCAAATCAAAACCACAATGAAATATCATCTCACACCAGTCAGAATGACCACTATTCAAAAGATAAGAAATAACAAGTGTTGGAGAGGATGTGGAAAAAAGGGAGCCCCCCTACACTGTTAGTGGGAATGTAAATTGGTCCAGTCACTGTGGAAAACAATACGGAGGTTCCTCAAAAAACTAAAAATTGAAATACCATATGACCCAACAATGCCACTTGTGGGAATTTACCCAAAGAAAACAAAATCATTTATTCAAAAGATATATGCACACCAATGTTCATCGCAGCATTATATACAAGAGCAAAGGTATGGAAGCAACCCAAGTGCCCACTGATAAATGAATGGATAAAGAAGATGCAGTATATATACACAGTGGAATATTACTCAGTCATAAAAAAGAGGGAAATGTTGCTATTTGTGACAACATGGATAGACTGGATGGACCTAGAGGGTATTATACTAAGTGAAATAAGCCAGGCAGAGAAAGACAAATACCATTATGATTTCATGTACATGTGGAATCACAAAACAAAAAAAAAAAACAGACACACAAATATAGACAATAGACAATTGAGCACTATAGGGAAGGGGGTTGGAGGACAGGTACCTTTCAGTTTGAGGTGAAG